TGAGAGGCGCAGGTCATGCCTCACAAGCCTTATTGAATTCTTCAAGGATGTGACACATTGATGAAGGCAAAACAGTGGATATGGTGTATGTGGACTTCAGCAAGGCATTTGATAAGGATAAGAAGACAGAGGGTGGTAGTAGATGGAAGGTACTCAGCCTGGAGCTTGGTGACCAGTGGTGTTCTGCAGGGATCTGTTCTGGGACCTCTGCTCTAGGTGATCTTTATAAATCACTTGGATGAGGAAGTGGAAGGGTGGGTTAGTATGTTTGCTAATGACACGAAGGTTGGTGGAGTTGCGGACAGCGTGGAGGGCTGTTGGAGGTTGCAACGGGACATTGACAGGATACAGAGCTGGACAAAGAAGTGGCAGGTGGAATTTAACCTGGAAAAGTGTGAAGTGATTCATTTTGGAAGGTCGAATTTGAATGCAGAATACAGGGTTAACGGCAGGATTCTCCGCAGTGTGGAGGAACAGAGGGATCTTGGGGTCCGCGTCCATAGATCCCTCAAAGTTGCTACCCAAGTTGATAGGGTTGTAAAGAAGGCGTATGGTGTGTTGGCTTTCATTGGCAGGTGAATTGAGTTTAACAGCTGTGACGTTATGCTGCAGCTCTATAAAACTCTGGTTAGACCACACTTGGAATATTGTGTTCAGTTCTGGTCACCTCATTATAGGAAAGATGTGGAAGCTTTAGAGAGGTTGCAGAGGAGATTTACCAGGATGCTGCCTGGACTGAGGGCAGGTCCTATGAGGAAAGATTGAGGGATCTAGGGCTTTTTTCATTGGAGCAAAGAAGGATGAGAGGTGACTTGACAGAGGTGTACAAGATGATGAGAGACATAGATAGAGTGGATAGTCAGAGACTTTTTGCCAGGGTGGAAATGACTATTCTGAGGGGGTTTAATTTTAAGGTGATTGGAGGAAGGTACAGGGGAGATGTCAGAGATAGGTTCTTTAAACAGAGAGTGGTGGGCGTGTGGAATGTGCTGCCAGCAGTGATAGTGGATACTTTGGAGACCTTTAAGTGAGTCTTGGATAGGCACATGGAGGATAGTAAAATGTAGAGTATGCAGGGTAGTTTGATCTTAGTAGGATAATAGGTCGGCACAACATCGTGGGCTGAAGGGCCTGTACTATGTTCTTTTTTTTAACGTTTTGTATTGGAAATATGATTCAGTAGGACAGATGCCCCAAAACAAGAGGATCATATCTTAGTGTGTCCCTTTGACTGTTCACTACAGTCAAGGTACTGACCTTATCCAACCAGCCATGTTTGTCAAACTCAACATATGGTTTACAATATCAAATCTGATTCTGTGATTGGATAGCATTTGATTAGTAATTCTTAGCATGCTTGCTATTAGGCTGACAATCAATTTAGATTGCTGCCTGACCCACCGTGATATTGGCATTTGTTGTTTTCAGTACACTTCCTTTCCTTGACCTCTCTGCCTCCATTTTGGGGAAAAAAACTGTCCACAGCCATCCTCTACAAAGCCACTGACTCCCATAGCTACCTTCACTACAGCTGATCACACCCTGTCCTGCAAGTACTCCATTCCATTCTCCCAGTTCCTTCATCCACGTCGCATCTGTTCAGATGATGCCACCTTCTGAAACAGGACTGCAGACATGGCTTGCTTTTTCCGTAACCGTAGTTTCCCACCCTCGACCGCATCTGACCTATGACCCATGCCTCCGCCGTTGTTCCTTCCCATCAATCACAATAGCGAGATCGGGTTCCCCCGTCCTCTGGTTTCATTCTCACAGCCTCCACATTCAAAGGATCGTTCTCCGCCATTTTAGACAACTCCAGCAGAACACCACCCACAAACACGTATTCCCTCTACTGTCCCATCTGCATTTTGTAGGGATTGTTCCCTCTGGGACAGCCTAGTACATTCCACAACCACCGATACCAACCCCCGTCCCCATGTAACTGCAGAAGTGCAATACCTGCCCCTTCACCTCTTCCCTGCTCACCATCCAAGGGCCTAAACAGGTGAAGCAGCATTTCACCTGTACCTCCTCCAATCCTGTGTATTGTATTCACTGCACCCAATGTGCCCTGCTGTACATTGGAGAAACCAAACACAGACTGGGTGACCATGTTGCAGAACACCTGCCGTCTGTGTGCAAGCATGACCTTGACCTTCCTGTAGCCAGTCATTTTAACAGTGCATCCTGCTCGCATGCCCATGTGTATGTCCTCAGCATGCTGCAGTGTTCCAGTCAATCACAGCGCAAACTAGAGGAATAACATCTCATCTTCAGCCTAGGCACTTTACAGCCTTCTGGACTTGATATTGAGTTCAACGCCTCCAAATTGTGAAGGTTTACTTGTTACGTTATGTCGTCATTACCGATCTCATCTCCCCCCATACCAGTGGGACTGTCTGTCCTTTCAAGTCTGGCAGGGAGACATACCGCTGTTATGCCATTCTCATATTTCATCATTTTATCCGAACTGTCAACATCTTTTCTCCACCAACACCCTACACCCTACACCCACTACCCCCCAACCAAATTCTAGCATAAATGCTGTCCCTTCCATACTTCACTTAAGCTCTTATGAAGAGTAATCTAGACTCTGATCATTAGCTTGCTGTCTCCATGGATGCTATCTGACCCGTTTTGATCTCCAGCATTCGTTGTTTTCAATTTAGGATAGTATTGTGGACCAGACTAGAACCCCCAAAATGTATTATAAGGAGATAGCCTAGACCCTAAATTTTATATTTATTTAAAGGCAAGTGTGGGGCAGATGTGATTTGCTTGGTCCACTACTAAGCTTTAATGAAAACATACTTTATCCTTGCAACACAGTTAAAATACAAAAAAGGCATAACTTTAACTCTGCTGAAATAATTAGCAACATAATGTATTATTTAATCACTAATATTCAACTGTTATAATGTATGTAGCATGCTACAAACAGACCCTTTGCCAGAAGTGCAATTCAGCAAAGCAGTTATGGTTCTCATGTGCTGAAAGAAACAAGCTGCCAATTTAGATTATTGACAGGAAGCATCTCATCTCAGACTTCACTTTGGCAGCTTTGATGTCAACCTTTTAGCTCAGCAGTCAGCAGAAATCTTCAACTCACTGAAAATCTTCCTAGGTCTACATGAGCCCTGACCCCACCCAGTCATGATTCCTTTATCTCATTTGAAAAAAACACCTAGAGGTAACTCTAAGCTGTTTACCAACAGCCTGTCTGAAGGAGATACAGGGGTTTGCCACAGTGGGGTGCCAGAGTAAGAGAAACACAGCACAAAGCACATCTCTCTTAGTACCATCACAATAATCAATCAGACTTGCAGTGTGGCTCACAGTTGAGCATGCTGGAACTTACACCTTTCAATGCACACAGCCTGTTATGTGCAGTCAGAACATGTAGAAAATTGTGGGATAGCCAGAACTGCAGATGCTGGAGTCAGAGATGACAAAGTGTGGAGCTGGAGGAAGACAGCAGGCCAGGCAGCATCAGAGGAACAGGAAAGCTGACATTTTGGGTTGGGACCCTTCTTCATAAATGTCAGCTTTCCT